AAAAAAAAAAAAAAAATTGAAGGGACGCTTTTCACGAACAGCCGAGTTGTAAATAAATGCATTAACTCTAAAGCTCTCGGGGTCTTTTGAAATTTTTACGCGCCCCGCTTCCGGAGGATGAAAAACGTCAAAAGAAAAGTCGGAGGAGAAATAAAACCGCATGAATTTTTCATACGCCGCGCACGCGTATGTGTGCCTGTGCGTTTAAATATGGATCGGAATAAACAGCGGCTCAACCCCCGAAACTTAAACACGTCGAATGGCCCTGAATAAAGTGTACGAAAGTAGGTCAAAACTTGGAGCTTTGCTCCCTTACAATTGCCTGTACCCTTCGAAACATTGTCATCCGGTTAACGATACGTGTGTGTGTGTGTGTGTGTGTGCAACTCATCGTCAATGCCCGCTCACCTCGTATACACATGTACATGAGTAACGAAAGAAAAATAAAAAAATACGCGAAGGGACCATTTACTCCAACGATTATCGCGTTTCCACGGATACGGCCACTTCGTCGGGAAAACCCGATAAAAGTCCACCTCAACCGGTAATCAAGCACCTACTTGGACCTCAAAAGCCTCATGCTTTTGTCCCTCTAGCCGCAGTAACAAACAAACGATTATCGCGCGTACGTAACTACATGTATAACGTTTTTTTGTGATATCTCTTTAATTTCCTCCCGATGATCTGATCTGCGGTACGCTGATTCACAAAGTTTCAGTTCAGACGCAATAAATCTCTTTCGTGGGTTGTTTCAGTCCTCCCTCATCTTAATTGTGGTGCAAAGAAAAAAGTGCAGGTAACATACGCGTGACCGACGGGAAGGCTAAAAGCTTCATCCGAGAGTGCCAGGGGCGGTAATCGGGTCGTCGTGTCCCTGATTATTTATCGGCCCCACGTCAAATCGGATGTACCCCGACCCGTCAATAATCAACCCGGCCAACGGAGTTCTCTCGTCCCACCCAACAACCCTCTGACGCTATCCGTGTGACCGCTTGGGATATTGTGTATTTAAAGGTTGTTGCAACGGCACCTCGGCCAACGCGAATTTAAATAATTCCGAGTACGCGAGCGCATGCCCATGGTATTTATCGGCGCGCCGCTGCTACTGCCGACGTCCGTGCATTCAAGGAGTCTCCCTCGCGACCTTTGATAAGACCCCATAGCCGCGCTAATGCATCGTCGTCGTCGTCGAGGTTTCCTCTCTCTCTCTCTAGCCCGCTAATTGCGTCTAATCGAGCGCGAGCCTTCGGCGATCGCTTGACGCGTTATTAACCTCTTTGCTTCGAGTCTGACTGTGTGTATACTGTGCATACACACGTATACACAACGTGCACTGGTATCTCTCTACACTTTTTTTTTCTTTCTCTTTCTTTCTTTAGTTTCAAGGCTGAAACTTTGTTCCTTTCTCACGAGTCGTCGTCTTGTGGGTACATATATTGCATGCATGGTCGTTGGGAAAATGCACACGATTGCGCAAGAAAGATGTATACACCTGCACACGAAGTGGCGAAAAAAAAGGTGCAGGGTCTCTTTCAACCGTTGTACACGTGGCCGAGAATTTTTTAATGGTTGTTGCCGATTACGGATAATTGTATCGATTTACGATCGGTGTGATGCTTCTCCACAGATGTTTTTCAATAATATACTTTTACGGATTGTTTATATTGTACGGGAAAAGAACGAGTTTGCAAAATGCGAGCAGTTGAGCTGTCACAATTGGCCGTTTCGTTGTTTTCAATCGCAAGTGTATCCCATTTCCATAAGGGTGATTGTCCTTGTTTGCCACCCCCCTCCCTCGCATCTCTCAAATCCAGATGCAGGAGATCTCTCAAACGATTGAACTTATCACCCTTTGCGAGAGACGATGATGATAAATCAAGCTGTTTGCGCGAGCATAGGATTGCAAATGTAATTTGACGTGCGCGCGAGTACAAGTATGCAGGACAACCAGAGAAAGAGAGGGTGAAGGAAACTTTGCTTTCTCGTATGCGCGCGACGGACCAACGCTAAATACTTCCCACAAGGTTAGCGGCGATAAATCAATCGGCGCAGAGGTATCACGATTCGATAAAAAAAAAAAAAAAAAAAAAAAAAAAAAAAAAACACGCTCTTAAACGCGCAAATACAATCGTTATTATTTCAAATAAAACAAGAGTTTTCTAAAATAATAATTAAAAATATTTTCAACTCAAAATCTTAATGAATTCGTTTCAAACACCCCATTTCAGATGTAAAATTTTTAACCCAAAAGTGTACGTACATGCATACACACAATTACATTCAACGACATTTATAATGACTAACTTTTTAGGCGAGGGATATTACAGCCAATATCCGCTATCATCCTGCATATATATTGGCAAATTGCCGAAGGTGGGGAAATAGCTACCCAAGGAGCTCTTAATATCGAATACAACTGAAATGTAAATTAAAAAAAAAAAAAAAAAAAAAAAAGCGGGGGTGCAAACCCCCGGGCACACACTCTCTCTCTCTCTCTCTCTCTTGTAAAGGGTGAATCTTTACTCTAAAATTCAGATAAAGTGATATTATGTGAAGGCAAGAGAAAGAAGGCTATAGTTGATATAAAAATGTGAATTCTTGTATTGTCTCTGCGAAGATGATCTTAGCATTTTGAGGATGTGCCAAGTTGGACGGGTGGAAATGTTGTAAGAAAGTGCAAGTGTGTGTATGAATACAATGACAGTAATAAAAAATATCTACTCAATAGCGAGTCTCACTGTACAAACTCTTGAAATATTTATTTCAAACAGAATCAGGGAAAACAATGCCATCTAGCGCATAGTTTACAAAAAAAAGCCCTACAGTTAAAATCAGTAAAACAATAATGAAGTACTTTTTTTCCAACCACTACAATACATAGACACGGGCAAAAATTATTGTTATCCTTACTTGATAAGTCGCGATGAAATGCCGATACTACCAAAAAATTTTATCGCGTTACCGTCTGAACAATCTCGGGTGTATCTACTGCGGTACAAGAGAGCCGTCCTCGACAGAATCAGTAGATGCAGAGCGTTAGTGTCGGACCGAGCCTGTAGGTGGTAGCAGCACCACAGCGTTGCGGCTCATGTACTACTGACAACAATAAATAAATAACATAACT